AGGCTTGGGATGGGTGCTGATAAATTTATGGAGGGGTGTCTGCGGTCTTGTGCCCCATGCACACTTATTAAAGGTGGGCTGATCGCAGAAGAGTAAGACATGGTAACATGGTTCTGATGGTATTTTTCCTTTCTTCAGTTGCTGTGGATGTTTGCCTGCGTTATTCAACGACAGGTTGTGCTAGCGGCATACCCGGAAAGCGGGAAGTGCTTAGGACTATTAAGCAGTTGAATGGCAGCAAAAGTCCCTTAGGACAAGGGCCTTGTCAGAGCCTGGCTGGATGTAACGGGCACCAGGCCACAGGTAAGCCAACGGCAGGGTGAGCGCGCGAGGCGACGGTCTTTGGGCAGCAGCATGCATGGCTGTGTGTGCTGCTTCCTACTGTTCATCCGTCAGACCTGATGGTAACAAAGGATGGGGGAAGGCTGCTGGGAACCAGTGCTGCCACTGAGCGCTGCGTGGAGTTCAGCGTGGGCCGTCAGGCAAATATTAGCTGGTCATAGAGCAGGCTCATCCAGTGGTCTCCAGCCTTCCTAAACTAGCTCTCTGAACAGCATTTCCTGCCTATTTAGGGACAGAAAAGTGTCCGACAGCACGGTTCTGGGTGGTGCGTAGCCCGTAGCACTCAGATTGCCACAAGCAGGGACGGGCCTGTGGCTGCTGAGTTTGCAGGTTCAGAGGCGATACCGTTCCTTGTGTGGAGCACTGTCCTCCTAACGTGGATACAGCGCTGGCTCCATCGCCGGAGCTGAGCATGCAGTGCCGAGCTTAATGCCACAGCAGTACTGAGGCCGGAACAGGGTTGAAAGTAAGAGGGTAAGTTTAAAAAAAAAACCCAAACACATTCAACTTAAAGCTTGAAGATTCTTATAATCTTCTGAGGCTCAGAACAATCGTATATTGCCTTTCCCTCTGTGTGTTGTGCTTTGACACATGCTCTGTCCCTACTGGTGTGCTTCAAGATGATGCATGGGAGATATTCTGATAGGAGCCAGACACAACTGCAGTAAAACCCTCTTAAATCTGGAGAAGAAGACATGTGGTAACTGTCTACTTGTTAGAAGTCATACAGAGAGGGGGAACAGAGTAACTGCTGTCAAAACACTGTGGAAGGAAGCAGGTTCAAAAAACAAGGCAAGAGGAGGTGGGTCTGCAGCAGCAGGCTGAGCCCTGGCAGTGCTCGCCAGGCTGGGGTGGGTATTGGAGACACAGGTCTTCCATGGGGGAGGTGTGTGCGCGGTGTGAAGTTCAGGGAAAAGAAATCTGTTCCTTGTAACAGCACAAAGAAACTACCTCTGGCTGGGCAGGATCCTGAGCCACAAACGGTGGTAGACGGGGGGGGCACTTGAGGCAAACACTTACTGTCCTGCTGTTACTAATTCCTGCAGGCACTGGGCTAGGTGAGCCTTTGGTCTGGTCTGATGCAGCTGCTCTCACCGTTACTGTACTGATACGAAATACACGTCTACGCTGCAACTGGCAGGCACAAAGATAACAAAAGTAGAGAGTTAGAAATCCCATTGGCATGGGCAGCAGTTACGTGGGAGAGCGCTGTACGGTGAGCTAGGGCAGCTGTGCTGGGGTAAGCTCTTCAGAGGGCTCTTCCACAGGAGTGTGAGGATGAGACAAGTAGGAGACATTAGAAGAAACTAAGTATATTTTAGATGGGATTGAAGACGCTTGCACAAACACTTCTTTCACAATATTTGCAATGGTATGACTACATCATCCACAGGACTAATTTAGATTTTATTCTGGTATTTCTCAAATATAAAAAGTCAAAATTCTTACATCAATCTTTAAAGAAAATCCATGCAAGCAGGTCAAAATGTTTACAACTTAATTTGCCCCCCCCACCCCCAACCCCTTCAGTTTTCACTTCACAAACCATGTTGGTAAATAAACCAAGTGTTTGCCTCTCAGGTTTTTTTTTTTTCACAGCACATTGTTAACAGACCAATGCTAGGCTAAGTCAGGGGTGCAGTAAGCACCACAATAAGATTTTTCACTTTAACAGCCTCTCTGCAATACCTCAGTGTTTCTTGCCGTGTTTAAAAGCACATCCATTTCACTTAATTCTGGCTCCACCTCATTTTAAACTTTAAGGCTATTTCTATTTGATACCACCATAATCTAACTCATGATAATCTCAAAACCTAACAGCCAGGAAAAGCAGCGCTACAAACTAGACTTTTTGAGAACTGCAGATGCGAACCTGTCTCTTCCCTTTCTCCTCTGGAGAGCCAAATCTGGATCCGTTGTACAGAATTTATGGCGTAAGACAAATCCCAAATCTGCTCTGTATGAAATAGGTTTGGCCCATCTAAATAGACACGCATGTAAAACCAAAATGCTTCTACTTTTAAATCGATAGGTAGTAGAAGCAGCTTTTGCCTTCCTATTCTGATTTTTACACAGACCCTTTCTGTTGAAGTTTAGTGTCAGATTTCATTAAGACTGAAGCCATACCACTGCCTGTTTACTACAGTTGTTCCCTGTAGCATAACTGAAGTGTTTTCCATTTGCCTTTACAATTCACAGAACATTTCTATGTGAAAGGGAGTAGAAGTCAAACTAAGCACTAGAGCTTCATTCCGAAGGTTGCATAGAGACTGAAGAGATTTATACAACAAATGCTGTTTTTTAAAAAAAAAAAAAAAAAAAAAAAATCTGTCTGGCACTACTGAACAGCTCAAATGTGTGTGACCAAAAAAATAACCAAAATATTTATAGGCAATCAACTCTGAGTTTGTTAGCAACAGCAATACTGTACATTTTTACATTATTATCAAATACATAATTCAAGAGTTACAAAAGAAGATCATGCATTACCACTAAATCTCATACAAGCTTGGATTGGTTTCATTCCAAGAATCTGAAAGGGAGACAGAAGCATTTTTTATGAATAAGAACTCAAACTCTGGATTCTTGTTTTAGCTTTCACAGATTCTATATAATCTTGTTACAAGAAAGCCTGTACAAGTTTGCTCAATTTAAAGTGTTAAAATGACTACTGAACAAAAAAAGTGAGCTTCAAAGTGATCAAAAAAGGGAGCTAAATGGTTCACTCTTTTAAAGGCAGCTTCAGAGCCAGAGGTACCCTTACCCGCTGTGGGTATGATTTTAACCAAGAGCAGACATTCTTCAACACGCTCAACAACACCTCCTTCTGTTTCGCCTGGCAAAACGGTGCTTTTGATAGACCGTTTGGTTTAAATAAGTGAGTTGAGCAAGTGGTGTCCCAGTCTGGATTAGGTTTAGTGTGAAGCACGCATATATATGCTTGTGTGCACTACTGAAATATCAACGCTCCTTCCCCAGCCCCCACCTCATGACTGAAACGATGGACAAGCTGTCGGCAATACTTCCACCTTTAGGTGCACCTGAACAGAGTTGTGTGTTCTTTCCCCGTTCTGGAAGTGACCTGGAATAGGAGATACAGGGATGGAAAGCAGCATCCTACCCAACACTTCAGAAGTCTTCAGCTTTGTGGCTCATGCCTCTCGTCAGTAGTATTTATGCCTCTTCAAAGAGAGCAGCATTATAAGAGATCAGATCATCTGTCTCCCTAGTTTCACTGCATTTACATATGGCACAAGATTGGTTTTCTAAGGAGTAACTTGTGGCAACAACATTTTTTCCTAAAAAAGTGTAACAGCACAAAAAAGTTTAATTTATAGCAGCATTTTACACAATTTGTGTTAAAAAAGTAGAAGTTAACCATTTGTGTATTGAGTAACAAAAGGTTTAAATTACATTTATTTTCCATTTTACACTCACTATTTACTAGTTGGACTATTTACAAAGGTTCAAACGTTGTGTAAGAGAATGAGCTTTACCCAGAATAAACTTTACATGTGAGGTAATGGTCTACCTCAACCTCTGTTTTGGCTGGCTGTAGAGGAGGTACAGTTGGGTTTAGATCCTAGAAAAAGTTCAGAATTAGGATGTTCATATGAATTAGATTGTGTTCTACTAGAAGAAACCATACACACACACATATACAGAGAGAGGGTAATCCTATGGTAAAAACATTAAGACCGACAGTGGATTTAGTTTTCATCTTTTTGGCTGAAAAAGAGGAGAAAATAATTAAGAACAGGGAAGTTGTCAGCTGTACCTCATTTATTCCAACTAAGTTTTTATCAAGAGGCCAGCTTTTAATTCAAGAAGCTAAAGCAATCGATGTTAAAACAAATAAAACTGAAGTATTTAAGAATTAACTTAAAACCGGGGCTTTCAGCACACCTTCTGAATAAGACAGAGGAGTATTATTTCTCCATTAATGTAAGTAAGTATCAACCCCCCTGTCTCCAAGCCCAGGAGGTACCGCTACTAGCTCCTGCTGGGCAAGACACCTCAACACGTGCTTGCTAACAGACACCTCTGTAACGTACGGGTGCCCCTTGGGTAAGTCTTACTTTCCTCTCAACATTTTTTTAAATTACAACAGACTGCAGGAACACTACAGAAGATGCTTCTCATTGAAGATTAGAAGTTCTTGGAACCTGCAGTGTAATTACACCATGAACAAAACGTGTATCAAAATGCTAAAAGGAAAAAAAAATGGGGGAAGAGGGATCTACAATGCTTTTCATGTAAGTCTTCTGACAGTTCATCAGCTGACCAAGCGATGAAACGAAAGTACAGTGGATACTTTTGGTAGTTGCAAGACAAAAGTTATTGTTCTTGCTCTAGTTATACATTACATAAAGATTGCATAGGACAAGGCAACCTTTTGGATAACTGAGGCAAGCAGTGCTTAGTGCCGGTATCCTTTGCTCTCGACAGGCTGAACCTGGTTTAGTGCTTTATTGTAGTCACACTTGTGTATCTCTGCCTTCAACACACCCATTGACCCAAATACTGCCATCTTAAGATCTTAGCGCTTCATCTGTGGATACCAAATAAGAGTTTAGTATAAGACTATTTGCTCAAGCTTTTTTCTAAGCAAGTACTCTTGCAGAACTACTGACTAAAACTGACAAGTCTTAAATAAGCTGAACACCACTGAGATGCATATTTTATTTTAGCAGATATGGAAACTTATATACTCAAGTTTCTTTTTTTTTAAAAAATGGCCTATTAAGGCATCTTAAAAAAAAATCCGTATTATGGCTTTGGTTTGCTGAAATACTATTTTACATTGTTAAAAAGGAAAAACATGTTCAAATAAATCTGACATTATGACACATTCACATATTTCACTTAGAATTGACAGTTATACAGATGCCTACGTGTGATCACAGATGTCTCCCCTTGCGATGACATGAATAAAAAGGTAATCCAAATGCTTATCTCACAGTAGAGGGCAACCCAGAAGTCTGTGCAGAAGTGACATATAAGGAGTTGTTATCTGGAAGAGGGGGAACCACAGAGTTTCCATTAGTGGGTGAACAGCTCAGTTTCAGTTTTTCCAAGTACTCTGCATGAACAGGCTTGTGACACTGAAGGACCTTGATTGCGTCTTCTACTTTAAACCATTCTCTTTTCCTTCCTGAATGAATATAATCCACAACGAAAAACAGAGTTACAAATTTGGAACAGCATCATTTGTTGCTATCTGATCATTCACTTTTTCTCATTTCTTTTACTTTAGCAGTTCAAGTTGTCAGGCAAAAGATACAGAGTGAAAAGACCTTGAAAGAACTGGTGAACACAAGAGATTCGCTCAAGCTTACTGAAGTGCAGTTCATAATAAAGCCTTTCAGATAACTCTCTTGAAGCAGATACTGGGCAGAAGCTCATATGACTGTTCATATGCTCCAAAAGCCACACCTAGTCCTTACAGAAAAGGACATTATTGTTTAAATGACTTAATGCTGCCTTCCTCCATTGTCATGCCTAGCAGAAAGCCAATCTGAAGAATGAACATGCATGCGTGCATGAAGTTACAGAAGAATGGCTTCGTCTGATTTAGAAAGCAGCGTTCCATACTCAAAGCATATCCGTGTATGGAGTTACTCAGGTTAGCCGTAAGTTTTAAAAAATAATATACCTTATACCAGAGATATGTTTAGATAAGTTCTGAGACTTATCTTAGTAAGATAGTCCTAAGACCATCTTTCTTATACAATTAAATCCTTTAAAATTAGAGGCCTCTGAAAATACTTTATACACAAGGTCAAGGACAGTATTGTTAGAAGTGGGATTAATTCTATTTTTCATTTGGCTTTACAGTGTTACAGGTACCATGCTTGAACATCTACATGCTTAAGACGTCTATAAACAGCTTGTTTAGACCAAGGTATGTGGCCCCACCAGGGCTGCTCATCCAGCTAGCATCCCACTGCCAGCAGCGCTCCCCAGAAGGAAGCTGGCAGTAGCCCCAGTGCTGGATGCTCTCCTCTACCCCACAGTTTGGCACCAAGCAGGAACAAACCAGTACCGTCCTCACAGGCCCCGTACAGTTCCAGGTACAAAAAAAAAACCCTCAAAACAATCCCACACCTGCCAATGTTGGTCCTCTTAAGTAATGGACCACTGATCAGTGTTGCTATACGGGGGACCTGACATGGAATTAAGAGGGTGCAGTCCCCACAACTTGATAGTACTGGAAACAAAACATTCTCTCTCCACCTGAAAAACTGAGCACAGTTTTGAAACTACCCATACAGTTACATGCCATTTGCTGACAGATCCATAGTGCAAAGTTTATGAACGTTAACACTCCTAAAGCACCACCTCCTGAAAAGGGTAAAGCATAACCAATCAAGGTAGGGTGTCATTTTTTACACCAATTCTTTGTTAACTAAAGTTTCAGCTGGACAAATACAGTGAATGAAGTAAGCTTTTTTTTTTCTTCCCTAAACTTAAGGACAAAACCAGTTAATGTTTACCTAATAAAATTCAAAGTGGAAGATCCATACAGCATCACAAAGGACGTTAATCTAACTAAACTGCATGACAGTGCTATCTGTATGACATAGATGTATATACAGGAATAGACACCTCTTAAGGTCAGCACTATCACTACTGAAAAATTAGGCTAAGGTGAAAGTAAATACTAGTGATTTTTTTCCCCAGGAGAATCAGGGGAAAAAGAACCTCATTAAAACTTTCCAAAGATTTTTTTTTTCCCCCCAAAGACACTTTCAAAAACACCCTAGAGTATCAGAGAGCAAAACATTCTACTTTTTAAGGAAAAAAAAATTGTCAGTATAATATTTGGCCTTTAAAAATAAAATTAAGAGCTGTATCAGCAACTAATAATGAAATTTATTCCATCATAATACTTAGAATACCTTAATTAATATAACATAAGAGTAACACAGCATGTCAGAAGCAACCCTAGTTACATGTGTACAAAAGTGTGGAAGAACAGCATCGCAGTTTCCAATAATTTCAGTTTATAGAACAGAAATAGTATTCCCCCCAGGATTATATGGATTGCTTCAGAAAATGAAAGAAGTTTACTTAATACATTTTAAGTATAGCACATGAAGACAGAGAATGGGTTTACCTATATTAACTGAATCCTCCCAGTCTTCCAGTATTTCTGTCACAGTAAGAACATAAACATATGTCCTATGCTTCCGATCCTGGTTCTGCTTGAATATTAAAAGTAGACGTTTTAATTCTCAGCAAAAAATAACTTAACAGACTTACCACAACTGTAAGATTAGAGATTACTTACCTCTGAAGGATACTTGCCAGCAAAACCTGGCTGTTATTTTCACTAAATAAACATCTGTTCTGAGTAGGCCCAAAAGGACAGGAAAACTGAAATTTTATTTGAAACAGCAGCTATTCTATTTTACTAGGCTTAAAAAAAAGGCCAAACAAACAAAAAAACCAACCCCAAAAACCCACCCAAGCAAATTTGAAGATTGTGAAGTTGGGACCAAACTATGTTCTTGGTCATCCAGTTTAATATTAGCAGTTGTCCACTAGTACGGCCCATTACTTATTTTTTATGTATGTTGTAAGTTACCACAGTAGAGTGCATTTGCTAAAACTATTTCCACAACTCATGTTCCTAGATGAAAGGTTATTAAAAAAAATCTTTGCAAGATGCAACCACTGCATCACGTGGCCAGATCACCTATGCAATGCTGGCTATAAAGTTTCACTCAGTAAGTGAGGCAAATTAAATAGCCTATGTTTGCAGTCATGACAAATTCAAAAATCATTACCATCTGTTCACTCGACGGGTTTGCCACGTTTGCAGCACTAACCACCTATTTAGAAAGCACGTGTTTTTTGAACAAGGCAAGTCAAATACAGAGACTGACAGAGGTAGTCTGCTCAGGGCAGGGTCGCTGTGCCACAGCCTGTGCAGACATTAGTCCCTCCTGGCTCCAAAGAAGGCTAGCAGCACGCTGTTAAAGGTGCTGCCCGACTAACCAAACCATACTGCCCCTTCGAAAAGAACTGAGCTCCTAGAAAACCCAGGACCATCTAAAATTACAACTATATTAAGAACCAAGAGATGTTATGCCCTAGCTCCCCTTACAGATGGTTTTATCCTTGTGCCAATAACCATTCCTTAACTCTGTTTCACTACAAGCTTAATATAGTTTTAAACTGTTGTGCTTTACTAGAAAATAAAAATACTCCAAGACAGTTCTTTGTCAGTATCGCTCACTATTAAATGGAGTAAGTATCTCTCTAACGTGCATCCTTGCTGCAGTTCTAGAACAGGAGGACTCAGCAGCAGTATCATTTCCATCTTCTCTTAGTTCCATCCCCAGGTCGCAACGCATGGCCCCCCCAACGGTACTAACAGCTGTTTGTGGGGCCGTGTTGTGAAACTGAATAGGGACTTGATTGAACCTAGAAAAGTGCCACTCAACACAGATATTTCTCTCTTCTGGTCTAGATGGTGGTAGACGGCAGTAGATGGCTTCAGAAGAACATACAGCTGAATTACCAAAGAATCACCATCCCACGCAGCCCCTGTTTTAAGGCAACAAGATGATAGGTATCCCATCTCTTTTTGGTCTGAGCTGGGAAATAGAGAATACTTCTGTAGACTAACCAGCAGAGTTAAAACACAGACAAGTTTTTCATGTGTAGGACCATCCAGGTGTACTCATAAACCCAAAACAAATCAGAAAAAAGGCAAGTGCTACTAACTACAAACAGGAACTTCTCCAATTTTGTCATGGTTTCCATACTTCACAACAGGAACACCTTGAGCACTGCATCAACTCATCATACGTGACTAAGTCATATTTCACATAGGAAATCCCTATCAGGAATACACTGCCTCTGAAAGTTGGTTTTATAATTAAACTGTGAACATTCATACCTAACTACTAGACTAAGGGACTTCCATTCTCACCCATCATACAGCACAACGTAATAACGCTGGATGAATTATGATCTGAAGACTCACACCTACATTTCTACAGTCTACTCCTGTCTAGAAGTGGGCAACGCCAACACTAAGAGTGTTGTATCTAGCATGCATCCTTGTGCTGCTAGTAATTCAGAGTCTCATGTTTACACTATGAAATACAAGTTTGGAACTACATAGTATAGCTAAAGGTTAGATTTATCTGTTATCCAAAGCCTTAGCTTTTTTAGTGAATCAAAGCCATAATGAGATACTTCATATACAGACCTATCAATTTAGGCGTCTGAAAGTTGACAAGTTACATCAGCAAAATCTAATCAGAGAGGAGAAGTCAAAATAGTGCCCCAAAAAAGGCACGTATGATATTTCAGAAATCCTAGATCTATCAATGTTGGTTTCACTTTTTTTTTTTTAAACTTCTAGATGTCATCCAAGTAATTTAATCTTTCCAGGAAAGTTCCAAGTACTTGGAAATCTTCCTATTCAAATCTTCACACATCATGTAACAACTAAAGGAAATCACTTGTCTAATGTAGCATTTCCAGTAGCATTGCAAAATTATAGGCAGGTAATACTTAAGAACTTAAGCCTGATGTAGTTTATCAACTCTCACACACGCAAAAGAAGAATGTTGTTTTTAAAAGGTAGAAGAAATAGCTCACCTCAAATATCCCAAGCAGTCTGCCTAGCTTTCCCTTTACTCCAGCCTAGAAAACAAACAGGAGAAAGTGTTAACATGTGCTTTTTAATTTCAGAAACTAAAATATCAGTACCAGCCTCCTACATTAGCATACTCCTCCTTATTAGGATTATTCAAGCGAGTGTTTTAACATAAGTTTTAATTAGACAGTGCTGCATTGCTTCTGGAGTTTCTAGTCTTAAGAGTACGTAAGAGTATTAGAACACAAACGCTTGTCCTAATGAGTGGTTCACAGCAAGCATAAATCTTCCAAGTTTTCCATCCAGACCAAAGTACTGTTTTACTTACCATGTTCTTTGTTTACTATATTTTATTAAAGAGAGAAATGACATCCAATACTGAAATCCAGGGAAGTAGATAGGACAAGAGATAATTTAAAGTAGTATAATAATAAATCTAGAGAAGGAATCATGAAAACTCCATTGCTGTTTTACACAGAAACTTAAGTCCAAGTCTTCAAAACACAATAACAAATTAAACTGTAGGTTACTGGGTGGATCTTGCAGCATAATGACTTCATGTACGCCAGCTTTCATGTAAAAGTATAGGTTTTGGCATGTAAGCTTAAAACCAAATTTATATCCCCAGTTCCTCTACAAACAGTTTTGAATCTTTCCTAGTCAGTAACATTAAAAAAGGCTTTAAACTCAGAGTTTTACTCCAACTTTTAAAAACAACCCGTATGTGTATCAGCCTGTACTTAGTAATTTTTTATCAATACAGTTAAGGTGGTTGTTATATTCTACTAAGACTCTAGGGTTTGTTTTTCCAAAAGTAATATATAATGCCTCTTCCAACAGAAGTATTTTATGATCATCCATTTATTCTAAACAAATCTGAGTTCCTAAGCCTGAGACATAAAAGCATATGTAGTCTACTGGTAGACAAAGCCATATTTAGATTTTTTTTTTCATCTTGTTGTATAACTGATATTTAAAATAGGGCTTCTTAGCTCTAAGATGACATTTTCTAGCCTTCAGTCTTTGTTTCCAGCTTTAACCAAAGAAAGTTACTGATGTCTTATGTCTTTATATAAAGGACCATATGGATCTTAATTACATTTTAATGAGTAATTCTGACAGACAACTAGGCAGGCTTTAGCAGTAAGTCTAATCAAGATCTTACAAGTGAATGTTTTGTGTGTCTTTTTAAAGAAAGCAGATGGCTGGTGTTAGTTATTAAGTAGTTTTGATGAAGGAAGTCTGATCACAGCGCGTGCAATTCAACAAGCATTTTGCTTATCTATAGCAAGAGCTGGACCTAAAGTTAATGCAAAACTCACACAATATTATTCTGGTTGTCTGCTGTAATGACAGAGATACCTGTTAGAGCTCATGAAGCTGAAATACATAACTGGACCTGCTGGGTAAGTGATGAGGCAGCACATTAATTATGAAAGTATCAGACCCTTATTTTGGTCTGAAAGGGTCAGCTATGCCACAACAGGCACTAAAGACTGTTTGTGCTTTACATTGGGTAATGAAAAAGCATTTATTAGCCTAAAGGAACACACAAAGAAATGTTTAAGTTTTACTGATCAGTCCTAATTTCCTCAACATTCCAGTATCTTTTAAAAGAGAGAAGCAGCACCTAAAAGGCTACAAACTTACGCTTCTGTCCCCAGTTTCTGCCTTTCTTCTCATGCAGCACTACCTAGGAATCACTATATCCTCTAAGATTTCTACTTTGTGGCAAACTGAACAACTGTAAAAGCAATTTCCCATCATCCTATTCCATCAAAAATAACAACATGTATCTGTGGGATTAGTCTTTTTTTAATACTTCAGCTGTCCAAGTGTGTAGTTTTACCCGCACAAGTTTTGTAATTTCTTCATTTCTTCCCTAAACTTGCAGCAAAGAACAAGATTGTTTAATATCCTTAAAGATACGCCTTAATAGCATGACAGAGAGCCCAGTACAGACTCTGCAGGTTTCTCAAACATTCAGAAAAGCTTTTCCAAGTACCAAGGAACTGCTCTAAAGGGAACTATGCTCCACCAGAGGGAGGAAAAAAAATGACTCCCCCTCACCCCAAACCCAAACAACTGCCCCTGCCACCAAACCCTAACCAACATCCCCTTCAAACAAAAAAACTTTCAAGATTTTATAACTCTCTAAGAAGTCCTAGCCAAGGCCTTATTTACATTACAAAGATTTCTTTAAGGCAGGTCTATGGCAACAGGACTGTTGAAGGACAAAGAAACTCACCATCAATAGATGCAGGAGGGCTTCTCTGAACTGCTAAGTGGGAGTCTGACAATTAACTGATATCCAACACATGGCACAAACACCACAACCAGGTAAGTTTACCAATACTGAAGAGCTTTCACAGAGAAGTTTTTTCAACTTAGTAGTACCCCATAGTCACAATGTGACTTTATCATCAATGTTACTTTAAGTGGAATTTACTTAACAGCTTCTCTACTCTCCCTCCAAGCAAATCGGTGGTTTAAACACTCTTAGCTGAGTGATTCTGAATGAAAGAATTAGAAGCATTCCATTACATTAAGTGTAAAAATTCCCCAAAGCTTATAATGAAGCTTTTGTGCAACCAGATGTTGCTATGTAAATGTGATTACTGTCACTGTTGTCTAGTTACTCTCTAGGCAAAGATATGTGCTTCCAAAATGTAGCATCATTCCTGCAGACAGTACCATCTTTTGAAAACCTCTATACCCAAAAGTATAAAAAGGTGGTAGAGTCTCATGATTTTTCTCTGAAAGTAATATATTCAACTGAATCATCTTCATAGTTTAAAAAGTACCATCAACTTGACAGTGATTTCTTTTAAGTGCTTTTGCTAACAAAAATATTTCCTCCAAGTTCTTATCTTAATGTCGTTCCTTCAAAATGTGTCAAAATTAAGTGCTAGAAGACCAAGAAATGCTTCAGCTTTTTCCCCAGAAAGTAAAATAAAGTTCCCACTTTCCCAATTGTAAGCTTCTAATGCAATACACTGGTTAAGTTCTAGACTTTGAACCATTTTGCCTCTAATAAGAATATCTTTCTTCCTTTGGCCTTTATGTACCTGTGGCTGTTAAAATATGGTTCTTTAAGTAAACAGAATCCTATAGGCTACCATAAGCATGTAAGACAGTCTAAACTTTGGGAGAAAAACCTGAAAAAAACCCAGCATTTCTTTTGACAGACAAGCTGTTAAGTGCTACACCCCACCCACCACCCTGATTCCCTAAGGAAGTCTATGAGTACTATATAGATAAGGTCTCAACTCTGAATTTATATGTATATTTTAGTATTGGTTGAAATCCAACCACAAGAGGAAAAACTGTCCACTTCATCCCGTAATCTCTCCGGCTTGGAGGTCATTCACTGCTGGCAGCTCTACACGTACTGCAGTCTCAGATGTGCAGACTTGCCTTTTGTATCCTGTAGATGGAGCAAGAGTCATGCTGCAGTTTAATTTTTAAGCTAACAGTCTACCACGGCAGAAAGTTGCTTAAAATCTGAAAGATTTAAGAGTTATTTTTAACTGTGGGATCTGGTGGATAGTACTTTAATGGCTACGCTCCTGAAGGCACAGTGCAAGACTATTCTTGCCCTTTCTTGCATACTCTTATAAAACCCAAAGGGTTTCACTGTACCTGCCACAGTCTTTCAGCTGAAAGGGTGTTTTATTTATTTATTTTTTTAAAGTATCTACCTAGTCCTAGTCTGTAACACCCATTTTTCAAATATTAGACACTCCCTGGAGCAGAGTTCCTCTATTTCCTGTGAGAGATCTTAGATAATATTACTGCCATTTTCAGTGTTGCAGCAGATTAATCTTAAGGATCAGCCTCTTCTTCTCAGAAGCTATATTCACACAGGTCTGGGAGGAATTACATATTTTTTGGTAGGCATTTCAATATACTACTAAGTACAAACAAGCAAGAGTCTCAGTTTTTGGTGAGATGGAGGAAGAAAAGGGAGTGGGAGGGCGCTCCTTCCATTTAAGGGGCTGGACATCATCAGCTTGCCACCCTTATTATTTGTGCCATATTTCTCTTTGAACACCGCATGTGCGTACAACTCTTATTTCCATCTTTCACGCTACCCAACTAAAGACTAAGCTCCAAATTCATTAACAGAGTAGCTCCTCATTTAGATGAGGAAAGGTTTAATACCTTTCTGAGACTGCTTTATACTATAACTTCATTTTTGTATTCTACTTTCAGGTTTGTAAAAACTTATTGTACCTAAGGAACTTGACAGGTTATCTTAATTACTGTAACCTGTGAAATGGCAGACAAACTTAAATGAAATTCATACTAAACATTTAGTAGACGTAAAAACCCACATCACTAACATGAACAGAACTTAAGGATAAAAAAAAAAATTCTGGAGTCATGCATACAGGCAGACTATGGAACAACTGCAGTGCATATAGATTTGACTACAAAGATCTTTGCTTGGGTTTTAAAACAAAGATTTTAAAGACACTACTGTTGGTGGGAAAGTGAAGGATATTTAGAGCCAGTAGGCTATCATACTGTGAGCTATTAGCACTCCTACCATTAAAAAATGCCATTATAACTCCTACTATCAACTTCTCCATTTTAATAAATTAATGGAAACCGATGCTTAGTTTGTGCATGACCCAATACTGAAGAAACACAGTTCAAACCAGTGCCACAGCATGCCTCCTTTGAAGTTTATTCATTCACAAAACTCTTAACAGTTCACTTCACTGTACAGTAACCAGCTTGCCAGGTGACATTGACCTTAGTATAAAAATAGAAAGGACATCCATCTCTAGAAAAGTTAGTATGAATTTCCATGGCTCAAGTCAAAGCCCTGAATACCACTCTGGCTTTTCTTTAAAACCAGCGCTTTGCAGTCTCGTGGCAGCACACAAGATTCAGCCTGCAGCTTAAGAATATTTTCCTTTAAAGCATGAGCTTTTGACGCTCATCAGCTACACCAGCTATCAAACCCCGAAAACTCTGAAGCTGTAGAACAAGTGTCACCAAATGATTTTTGCTTATTAAAGCCCCTAGCCTTTGAAAAACCTTTATGCATTTGCAAGCACAGCTCAAAACTGAACACGGCTGGCAGTTTGTGTCTTACTCCAGAACATCATAACAAAAAAAGAAAGCATAGCCACTGTAGTAACCATGAATAAAAGTTGGTTTAACTTCTGAGCTAGCTCCTGTGCTAGCACCACTCAAGAGCTTTGTATTTGCTGGGTTCTTCTCTTTACCTTTAGAAACAGTGTCTCCCATGGCGTATAAACACTAATGATGTTGGTGGTTTTTGAGTCATTTACGACATGCAGCTTTTCTATCATGAAGCCTCTGAAATTTTGATGACAACACATATATTCTAAGCAGCTACAGAACAGCATAACATACAATACACTGAAAGGTAATCAAAGTATTTGCCTAAACCACATGTTTACATGTAGCTTGTTTTAAGATTCACTTCGTGTGATAGCACCTGAACAAAACATGATCAAAAGAGAGCTCTGTGTATGAGTGAAGGAGGCTGACCTCTGTCTTCAGGATTCAAACAGCCTAGGGTTGCTGAGTACTGCAATTCTTGGCCAGAACCACCATGATGTATGGGAAAGTCTTTTGCTTTGCCCTGAGAAAGAAATGAGGGCAAGTACAACACTGAGCTATGGAAGGATTGCTTCACATCATAACAGCAGGTACTCCTATTTTTCCACTTTCTGATTTGCTGTTTTTTTTTTTTTTTTTTTTTTTTTTGCCTGCTCATGTGAAAGCATATCCAAAGGGAATAAGGTCATTCAGAAGTAACTAACATTTTGGTATCTGTATGAACCGGAGAAGTTCACAGTGTCTGGGCAGTGTGCACACTCTGATTGGGCTTTTACGTGAACAGAGAAATTTGTACTAAGTTTATACTATATGATACTATACTATATATCATCCAGTAATATTCTATACGCATTCCTTAACTATCCCAGCTTAACCTTTTCCAACACTCATGACCTATGCACTGCAGCACCGCAGAAATTTGCAAGCAGAGCGCCAGCAAAGCCAGGACTTGGAAGTGTTCGTCAGTATATTCTCAGGGCAGAACCATGCATAGTAGAAAACTAGTTATCAGCCCCCCAGGTCACAGCTCTCACTGCTATACTACTTTGCTATGAAGTCAGCCTGAGAGCTTTGTGTGTAGCACTGCATTCCCTGCGAGCTGAGAAGCTAGACCACTCAAGCAGCTTTCAATAGTTGGTCAAACCCTCACAGCAACTTTGATGACATACTAACTGCAGACAGGTCCCTTCAAGATGATCCATTCTTCACCGCCAAAGGAGAAAAAAACAAACAAACAAAAAACCAAGCTTATGACTACAGTTCAGTCAGCTCTGGTCTGACATGGAGATGACATTTTCCTATCCCTCATTTTGGACTGTGCCTTAGGTCAGACCAGCGATTAAAACTACCAGTGTTCACAAGAACACTGAGCCAGTGGTCCTGTGCTTTTTAATCCCACCCATCAACTCGTGACAGTGGGAAGTGCCAGGACTTTCCTCAGCAGTGCTACTACTGCCTAGAAGCCTAAATCTTTGCTGACTCATTCGTAGAATCCTAAATCTTTGCTCCTTTCAAATGGACTGCGTTGTGGCTGCCTCCTTTACTTTTACAAATACACAAGCACTTACCTGAGTATGTCTTGTGCAGCTCAAAACTGGCTCCCCCAGCAAAACTGGACACAGACAGAAAGTCTGGAATAACTTTATATCAGTGAAGCTTATTTCTATTTGAACCTTGCTGCATGAAGGCTGCTAAGAGCACTGAATACTGAACTGCTCTGTTCCCCATGTAAGAGGGGAGGAGGGTCACTGCATCACAGCACACAGATCTCGCTTTGACACCAAACAGCAGGCAGCATTTGGTCCAAGTTGCATCTACATCGAGCTCCCAAGCCTCTACAACCCAGCAGAACCAGTCTTAAGGGTAAGCAAGCTAAACCACTAGATAGCACAGCTAATAAAAAAATCATTATACACACTAATTAGCAACAATATTAGTGCGTTTTGTGAATAGTAGTAGTCAAACTGGGATGAGAAAACTGTTTAAGACTAGCAGAAATCCTGTAGTTCACTCACTTGCCAGGATACATCCACTTTCTGCAAAACCTTATACCTTCTATTTAAGAAGTATGATATAAAGAATTAAGAGTTAATCTGTGGTCACTTACACATTGCATAATTTCTAGCTAAATCAAGTGACTGATTTTTCTTGAAGTTTTATTTTACAGTTCTGGCTGTTAGATATTCAAGTAACATTTAACATTTTTAACAGTTTGCCTAGGAAAAATAAATAGCAAGTTAAAACCCAGAATTTTGAATTTGAAATTTAAGTACCATACTAGAGTAGGAAACTGCATTAATTCATCGAGATGTAAAGCTCTGTTTTGCCTAGGGGTAGGGGCAGAGATAGAAAGGCGGACCATACCTATGGGTGCTTTCTTTGTAGATAAACAGCCTTAAATGTACTTAACAAGGCCTTTTTATTATTGAATTCTCAACTGCTCAGATACATCAGTTTCTAATCTGTTTAGTTTGGAACCTCCTCAAAGGTCTGTTTATTTCTCTTTCTTATGTAGCTACATATTAATGGTTAGTTCACCTTCAGTCTGTTCTAGAAGAGCTGCGAGTCAAACATTTTCTGCACAAACACAGAAATGCTACACTACTGTAATATGTCATTTGGCATAAAGTCACAGTTGCAATTCCAGTAAGTGTTTATAAAGGCAAACAGAAATTTGACTATGGAATGAGAGCGTGCTGGGAAGCGAGCTAATTAGTCCACCTCACCACACTATACCCCAATTCTATCACACAGAACTGCAGTTCTTTGAATTTCACAACCATGAAAGTCTCAGTCAAATCCTAGATAAAGGAGGTGGAGTTCCCTCTTTCTTCTTGACTCCCATCTGAAGATAGCAGCAACAGAAAGAAGCTGGATTTTTTTGTTTTGTGTTTGTTACCTCTTCATACACCTCTCTGACAGCTGCTCCCCCTGGCTCTTCTTCTGGTTCCATTCCTCCACCCGGTACAATCCACTGATCTGGGTATCGGCTACTGCTTACCAACAGCACCTATAAATAATTGCAAATGACTGTTAAATATAGCTCACAAGTCAGGAATCTTGGTACTATCTACTTTTTAGCAACGCACTTATTCACCTAGCCAGATGGATTATAGACTTTAGAAATAAAACATAACAGGCAACTAGGAGTTGTAAGAAAAAAAAAAAAAAGTGGCATTATTAACATCCAATCTTTTTATTACAACCAAGTCAACACAATGTCATTGTAATCCCCTTGCACAAACACTTTTATCAGATGCTTAGACACAATGTGAAAAATACACAACACAATATGCACAGGAATGAAGATGTACAACAAAAATCTAGTAACAATATTCTCCAATATTGACTACGTCTTATGGCCACATAGATGGTAAAATGTGAAAATTAAGACATTTTCATCACACAAAAGTTAAACTAATTCTTCTGGAATGGCATCTTTTGGCTAAAAAATTGGACTTTGAAAATATTTCTAATCTTTAGTCTTAGACAAGCTTCTTTTCAGTTACTGAAGTGTTATGTTAGCATGGCATGCTTACAATATTGCATAACTAAATTATAAAGGAGAGTACTTCTTTGGCTCTTGTCCAATTTACTTTCTTCTAACATTTCTGTAAGAGGAAAAACTGCAACACATTGAATTTTGAATGATTTCCAAATTTAATAACATTTTTTTCCCCAAGACACTTCGATTTCACTTAATTTGACTCTGTAACCTGGTCATATCATTGATATATACCAATTTAGGTATACGTAGGACCTGTCCTGAGAAGCTGAGATTTTAGCCACCTGTCCAACAAACTAGAATGCCTCACATTTGAAGTAATTTGAAGTAGAAGTCAATGAAAACAAGACCTTGATTCAGGACCAGATGGAAATAGAACAGTTTAACTTGTATTTGAGACATGTCCTGATTAGTAAGACATACTCAATCAGCTGTGCAGTAACACGCTTCGTATTCTAGGCAATACTTGACATAAGCCCAAGCCCTACCCTGAAGTCAAAGGACAACTGTGGGGAGCAAAGGGACAGGGTCAGTGCTCGAACCTTTGAAAGCAATTAAAAGACTAGCAACAAGAACCTCAGTCTAAAGGTTAAAGTGTTGACTGGTGCTAGATCACTGAAGTGACAGTCCAGTCCTCACCAACTACCTTTATGGTCTTTGAATTCATCTCCTGTTGGATTAAGTAGAAGAAATGATTCCCTGATGAGGCCAACATGGAAATGCTTACCACTTATACTATGTCCCTTTGGCACTCATGGAAATACGGTGTAGGTTCACTCACAGGAACTGGGAAGTGTAATTCAGATGACTGCAAACCCTTGTGAATCGAACAATGCGTGTGCATACTGAGGTGCACCTAGAAGAGCCTTATCTGACAGATACTTTTCTTGTTGTAATGTTTATTTTATTTGCAGTCCAGATTTGTCCTACTCTGAAGGGTTCTCCACTGTACAAATTTTTCCTACACTAAGTAAGAAACACATTTAGTACAGAACCAATCTTAGCATCTGATCTAAATGTTCACATTTTCAGTCAACTCAAATATTTTATTCAGCTATCTAAAACCCTAGAAATAGTCAGCAAAGGCAACAAGGTTAGACACAAATGCATCTCAACTTGATCTTTTACAACCAAAGGTTTTAGTTTCCTAGGATCCTTTGATATTAACAAAAGATTCCCAGAGGGTTCACAGCTCTACTAAGTGTAGTTTTAGAAAAAGTTTTTGTACATGTAGGTGGAGCGTCTATATCACTACAATGAACCACCATGACAGCAATGCTTAAAGAGCAGTTGTAAAAATCCAAGTTATGAATTCACTTGTGGGATCCCAGACATAAGCATTACACATTCTTTTCTACTGATGAAACTAGCACTCACTGCAGTCATGTGGAAGCTAGCAACAATGATGAACAAAAGGATGATTATATCACATTAAATCATTCCCAGCTTGGTAGAATGGTTTTAATCAGCATTCATTGTTTAGTTAAGGCTAAACAGAAAATTCTTAATTACTACTAAGGGATAAATCAGGTTGCTGGTTCTGGCAGTGTACCATAAAGCCAGGAATCTCTTATGCCTTTTACATATAGTAGTTGATTACCGCTAACCTGATTATTCAATAGTCTATTGATCTGGGTTTGTATATCTATTAGCTTTAAATTACCCTTTTAAAAAGCAGAAACAAATACATCTAGCAAGTAATCAACAATAAAATACATCAACTCCGGTAAACAGGCTTTACAGCTATACATACAATAAACTCCCAAGTGTTACAGCCTGGGAGTTCATTTTGGCAACTATGCAAGTCTCCACTAACCCTGGAACTGAAGCATTTTCTCAAGCATCTTTCCCTCTATGCTTTATTCTCCTTTGATCCCACTGCTTTTATAGTCCAAATCCAAGGGACTACACTAAGGTATATCTCTGAGACGTTCAGATATACAATTTTTTCCACCCAGTAACATTAACGTTTGAAGCCACTAGGGCATGAGGCATCCATCCTCATGCAAGCAAAAATGTACTCAGTGGTAATCAATTTCTACAAAAGCCGAGAGCCGACAGCTAGAAATTACAAGATTGCGTGGCAAGGCTGAAAAGCACTCCACTTTCTTTCAGTTATGGCAGCAAGCAATCTTGCACTCACTTGCACATTTTTGGTTTTGGTGTGTTGTTTTTTATTCCATGTAGTAGGTGTAGTTCTCAGGTGTTTCCATCTGTAAGTGGCCAAAAGACACATCCCACAGCACCTGAACGACTAGGCTGTAACTATAAAGATCACTTAAAAATGAAGACACCAAAAAGCTGTGGTTGGTTGACAATGCACTCACATGCCAAAAGAGGTGCAAAATCAGCAGCATAAAAGCCAGCAATTCATCTTCCCTTAATATAAGATAAGCAAACCAGGAGAAGAGAGACCTAGGTCACCTGGGCAGCCGGTCTCTCCTGAGGAGGTCCATGTTCACGCAGATTACAGTAGTCTACTGAATAACAAGGCTGCAGAATCTCACACCTCTACATTTTTTCTGGCCTATGTGCACCAAATTTAACATGGGAACCTCATTAGGCTCAGAAGAAAACAACGGAAGTGCTTCCTGGGCAGAGAAATCTGTAACCCATATCTCTGAATGCAGAGAAAGGAATGAGATTTCTTGTATTGTATTACCTGCCAGCGACCGCTGCCTTTCCCATGTCTCTGAAAAAGCCTTACCGTTGATGACTATTGTTCAAAAGATTTCCAAAGTACAGAGTAATGGGATCAAATCTGCTTGCCTAGTTATACTGTTAAGTTTATCTTACTCCAAAGACTAAGGTAAAGCTGCTATTTTCCATAATACTGCCAAGTGAGGAAGTAAAGCTGCAAAACTCAGCTAAGAGGAGAAGAAGAAAAATTCTTCCACCAAGTCTTACTAGCCAAGTTTTTACCTTGTTTTCAAGTCCAGGAATAGCAATGACCTTTTGAGCACAGCAAGGAAGAGAAACTGCTAGCCAGCCTTCTTGTAATAAGCACCTATCGATACGCTTAACCAAGCTATGGTTAACCAAAAAGCCAAAGGTAATTACGGAGCATGTGGCGTCATGGGACATGCTCACTATAAATGCTAAGCCTGCAGACAAACAACTGAAAATTTCTAGAGAAAGATGCCAAGGTTTTGGCCTGTTTAGTGTTCTCAAGTCAGAAGAAACTTGTGAAACAGTTAGCAGCCATATATTTCAGAAGATTAAAATGGCAACAGCTCGGCGTAATATAAATTACAACCAAAAGCTATTCCTCTTTATATTTTTTTTTTCATATCAAGCACTCAAAGACACAGAAAATGACTTAAGGTTATACAAAACATCCTTGCTTTCTATCTTCCATAATTGTACAGCATTATTGATTACAAAAATAATTGTATTAAAAATCAGCTTACATTAAAAAAAAAAGGCAAGGTGTGCTAGTTTTGGCTGGGATAGAGTTCATTTTCTCCATAGTAGCTGGTATGGGGCTATGTTTTAGATTTGTGCTGAAAACAGGGTTGATAACACAGGGATGTTTTAGTTACTGCTGAGCAGTGCTCACACAGCGTCAAGGCCTTTGCTGCTTCTCACCCCACCCCACCAGCGAGGAGGCTGGGGGGGCACAAGAAGCTGGGAGGGGACACAGCCGGGACAGCTGACCCCACCTGACCAAAGGGATATCCCACACCATATGACGTCATGCTCAGCATATAAAGCTGGGGGAAGAAAAAGGAAGGACGGGGGGACATTCGGTGTGAGGGCGTTTTGCTGTCCCAAGTAACTGTCATGCGTGATGGAGCCCTGCTTTCCTGGAGCTGGCTGAACACCTGCCTGCCGATGGGCAGCAGTGAATGAATTCCTTGTTTTGCTTTGCTTGTGTGCGCAGCTTTTGCTTTACCTATTAAACTGTCTTTATCTCAACCCACGAGTTTTCTCACTTTTACTCTTCTGATTCTCTCCCCCATCCCACTGGGGGAGAGTGAGCGAGCGGCTGGGGGGTGCTTAGTTGCCAGCTGGGGTTAAACCACGACACAAGGTTAAGGTTGAAACTTGCTAGACAGAACAAACCCCCACAGCTGGATTCTTTTGACTTCAGAGCAGAGCCATCCACAACTTGAAATAATGAAGCAATAGCAGCAGAAGCCACTATAAACCAACTGCAAGATGGGAATTTTTCCAAAGTGGATGCATTACTTGCAAGGAAAAACGAACTTACAGTTGAAAAGATACCACTCCAGTTCCACAGAAGTTATTTGTCTTCATACATCTTTGTAAGCTCTCTCCTCCTTCTCATCACTTTTATTCCTCTCTTCCCCACTGCACACCCCGTTTTTTCCCCTCTCATCACCCCCACTAATCCACTAGCTATATCCAACTTGCTGTTTGAGTTACCTGGTGGAGATAGCTAAGTTTGCCTTTTTTTATAGTAAAGCTGGCAGTTAAAAGGAACAACTTTCAAGAGGAAGGGAATCCACCCCTCGTCCCTATAGACCACTGAGCACGT